TTTTTATATTTTTTTCAGGACCAATTGTTGATTTTACTGCTTTATTAATAATTTCACTGGTGTCAATTTTTATACTTTCTTTTACAGATTCCTGTTGGCCAATACTTTGATTGTCTAAAATGCTGCGTTCAGTGTCTTCGATTTCTACGATTTCAACCCCCTCCTCCCTGTGTTGATGTGTATCGTCTACTTGATATTGTTCCTTTATTTTTGTATCATTTGGTTTACGCAATGTCGTGTGTGCTTGCCGAGTGTCCTCGTATTCTGTGGAAAGTATGTGAGAATGTTACGTATGAGGAACAACGTGTACAGTAATATTTTACTTGCTCAGTTTTCTAATTACATTTAAAATGATTTACAATCATCCTAAATTGTTTTAAATTCGTGCGTTAAAAAATTTGTGTAATCAGTATTTTATAATCTTAAAATTTATTATAAAAAATATGTAGTTTACTGAGCAAATAATAGGTTAAAAATATTGTTTTATACAAATCAGCATTATGTAAATTAATTGAATGCTTGCAAGTAACCATTAGAAAGCTATTAATTTTTTTGTACTATAAATTTAATTGTAAGTTTATTTTTGTTGTTTTTTGTTTTGCGTGCAGAATTGTGATGCTGTTTGAACCCTGGTGAAAGATAAATGATGAAGGTCATACACATGATGTGATTTGATTGTATTGTAATATTTTTTAACTTATTAATATCACTAATAGTTTTATGTCTTATGATTTTTATTAAAACCAGTTCCAGGATTCAAAATATCGATTACATTTTTATGAGAGAACTTTGCACACAGAGAACGCACCACAGAAAAAAGCGAATATTCTTGATATTATAAGTGTATATACACTTGAAATATTTGCTACAAAAAGCATAATGCAACTTTTTTAACAAAATATACTAAAGCAAAGTTAATGCCTTCAGCTTACGCATGATAGTGTATCGCAGTGAAGCAACTGCCAACTGCATCAAAGTAAAAAGCTCTGTGCACCTATGTTTTTTTTTTATACGAGAGTAAGAAGCTTAGCCTTGTATGTTTTTATATCAATTAACTTATTTTTAAAAAATGTTTCAATTTCTAACTCTTAAGATACAACATTTACATGGGTATTAATAACAACTTGCGTAAGCGTAAGTTTAATAATTTTGAGCTAAGAGTAATTGTTATTATCTTGTTACCACGATTGTGTAAAAAAAACACTCAGTCGTATATTTAAACGAGAATTTAGTGGATAAAAACCGAGGTTCGGAATTCTAGTTGAACAATAGCAAGAAGATTCAATAAATTTTTCTTAAAACAATAGTTTATTGTATGAATAATAAGTGTTGTACTATACAACAGTAGCATGAATATAGGTAATTGATTATAAGTACAAGTATTTTAAGTATAATAAGGCACTCCCATACATTAGTCGTGTCTAAAAAGTGATCGTTTTAATAGTGAAAAATAACAGTGGTAATAAAAAATAATTAAGTCACAAATACTACCAAATTATGTTTGGAACGGTATGTATAAGGAATCAGACATTGTATTTTCGTTTAACGTAAATGAAGAATTTTCTTGCTCTTAATCTGGAACTTATTATTCTAAATTATCTAGAATTTTTTTTATTTGGAGGTAACATTTTTTGCAATATATTTTTACTTATGATATTTCCAAGTTATTCTTGTAATTTTTTTTAAAATTCATTTTAAAAAGTCTTCGATATTAATGTATGTAACGTATGAAGTTCACTTAAAAAAAATTACGGAAATTTTTAGCAAATGTAAAGTTTAAATTTATTTGTTACTACATATTTATCCTCATAGAAAAATATGATCAAGTTATAATTGTACTTACTTTTAATTATCACAAGTAGAGACGTTTTAGGTGATACCTTAATATAAAGTTAGATAAAATATGTTCCTTAATTAGTTAAATGTTATTTTATTTGAAAAAATGTGTAATTTAATTTATATTTGAAAAAGAGAGAATACTGCGCATAGAAAGCATAGCGGCGTAAGCGGAAATTCACAGCTATATTCAAGAAATCTTCATGCATCTGAAAGAATACAATATAATTAGATAGATCTTAATGTAGTAGTTACATGAAATTATAGTTTCACTATGTTAATTGAATTTTACATTAATTTCTATTATGTCAGACATACGATATTTGAAAGAAAGTTTTCTTATGGGTAAGAAAGTTTCGTTTATCAATTGATATATCTTATTAATTATAATTCACAAAGGTATTAATCTTTTGATGTCACCTTTAAAGTAGTTCCCTCAGTAAAACAAGGATATAATTATTCGCAAAAATTCAAATTGTTTTTAACTTACTAGTATTTACAGAATTGACGGTGGTATAAAAAATTCATCCTTACTATACCTTAGCGGTATTATTTTCTACGCACTTGATAAAAGTTAATAATTATCTTCATTTACTAAAAAAAATTACAACTTTTAAGGGTTTAGAATTTTAATACTTCAATAAATAAATTGGTATGAATTCTCAATAATCTGTTGATATTTGTATCAATATTGTTTCTGCATCAGTAAAGAGTGAGTAGAAAAAATATTTCTTTATTTCCAATTTAAAATATTTAAAAAATAATTTATTAAACTGATGATACAACAAGATTAAAAAACTAGACGGTTAAAGAATTTTTAAGAATTCAGACAACCTGGTTTCATAAAGTACTGTGCACTTTAGTTTCGTAATATTTATAAATAAATCCATAAGTCAAGGGAACCA